GGGCTCCAAAATCACCACAGATGGTGACTGCAGCCATGCTTGCTCCTTGGAAGAAAAACTATGACAAACCTAGACAGCATATTAAAAAGCAGAGACATTACTTTTGCGACAAAGTTCCATCTAGTCAAAGCTATGGTTTTTCCAGTAGTCATGTATGGATGTGAGAGTTGGGCCATAAAGAAGGCTGAGTGCTGAATAATTGATGCTTTTGAGCTGTGGTGTTGGAGAAGACTCTTGAGAGTCCCTTGAACTGCAAGGAGATCCAACCAGTCCATCCTAAAGGAAATCAGTTGTGAATATTCATTGGAAGAACTGATGCTGAAGCTGAAGTTCCCATTCTTTGGCCACCTGATGAGAAGAACTGACTCATTGGAAAAGACCCTGATGCTGGGAAAGATATAAGGCAGGAGGAGAAGGGGTTGACAGAGGAAGAGATGGTCGGATGGCATCACCAACTCGATGGTCATGAGTTTGAGCAAACTCCCGGAGTTTGTGATGGACAGGGAAGCCTGGTGTGCTGCAGTCCATGGGGTCGCAAAGTCAGACACCACTGAGTGACTAAACTGAACTGTTTTAAGCCACCCAGCTTGTGGTACTTCTTTGTAGCAGCTCTAGCAAATTAATACAGGTTTCTAGTCAGTTGGTTTTTCCTGAATTATCTGAGTGGGTCCAGTGTAATCATAAGGGTCCTAAAACAGAAAAGGGAAGCAAAAGAGACGGTTGGAGTGATACAATGTGAGAAGAGTTCTACCTGATTTGCTGGCTTTGAAGACAGAAGAAGGTGCCACCAGCCAGAGAATCAGGGCAGTGTGTAGAAGCTGGGAAAGGCAAGGAGACAGAGTCTTCCTGGAGTCTCCAGAAGGAACCAGCCCTGCAGCACCTTGATTTTAGCCCCTTGAGATCCACGTCAGTTTTTCTACCTCCAAAAGTGCAAGGTAATCAGTCTGTATTTTTTTATGTCCTTAAGTTTATAGCAGTTGCGACAGCAGTAAAAAAAAAAACATAAAAAAAAACAAAAAACCGGGTGTCAGGTAGTGACAGAGCTGTCCAAAATCTAGTAGTCCCCCCTCGTCCATGGGCCATACACCCCAAGTGCCCCGTTGGTAGATGCCCGGAACCCAGGATCCCTGCAGATATTTACATACTATATATTTCCTGTACTAAGCGGCAGGGAGCCTATACAGTGTGGAAAAGCTGGGCAAAGGAATGGTTCTCATCCCGGGCGGAACTGATTGGGATAGTGGGAGATTTCATCCCACTGCTCAGAACAGCACGCAGTTTAAACTTATGAATTATTTATTTCTGGAATTTTCCATTTAATGTCTTCAGACTGCAGTTGACTGCTAGTAAACTGGGGAAAGTGAAACCATAGGAAAAGGCAGAAAACTACCTGATTAGAATGATCCAACTGGGAAAAGTGAAACCACAGATAAAGGTGGACAACTACCTGATTAGAATGATTGAACTTGGCACAGGTACAAAGCAGATGCGTCTGTGTTGGTTGGACAGGAGAGGCTGACCTGACCCTGTGGGAATGGGGCAGGGGCCTGACTTATGGAAGTATTGATGGTGGCTTCATCAAGAATTACAGTTTTATTGCTTTTAAGAAGAACTACTAATTCAAACTCGGCTAATGAATGTCACTGTTAAGATTTTTAGAGGATATGAGTGAAAAAAGCTCAGGTTTGCATTGTAATTGTAGTGCACATTGTTGTGTGGAACTGTCAGCCCTTCTCAAGCTAATAGACTTGGGATTGATGGCACTTGACTCTGATGTCCAGGTGTGTGATGTCGCCCCTGTCCCACATGGGCCTCATGCGGCCGAGGCCCTTCAATGGAAGTGGTTTCTTTCTGTCACCAAAAGCAAAGTCTTAGGAAGACCACTTTTCATCCCCATTCCTCACTGAGGTTTTTGTTAAGTTCAGGAGCAAGAAGGTCCAGCTGAAAAATAGTTCCAGTAACCTATAGCAGGTGTGCCCATGACACAGAGCCCTCCTGTCTGTGGCTCGACATGTGTTTCAGGCAGGGATGGATCTGAGGATTCTTCTGGAAGGAGGACCAGGGGTACGTGAGCTCTTTTCCATCCTGTCATCCTTTTGAAAAGTACCAGCTTCTGGTGGCTCAGATGGTAAAGAATCTGATCAAACACTGACCTGGGTTCGATCCCTGTGTTAGGAAGATCCCCTGGAGGAGGGGATGGCAACCCACTCCAGTATTCTTGCCTGGAGAATCCCCATGGACAGAGGAGTCTGGTGGGAGTCCGTGGGGTTGCAAAGAGTCAGACACAACTTAGCGACTAAGCACAGCACACAACAGTTACCGCAGGTAAAGGAGAGAAGCACCTGGGAGGCTGGCAGTCCCTCCCAGCTCTGCGGGAATCCGATCCCGACAGACCTGACTTTCTAGCGAGTGGTGGGCCAGGAGGAGCCCCCAGGGCAGGACTGCTGAGCCCTGCCAGCAGTTCCCTGTCTCCCCAGGTGTCCCGGATGTGACCTTTGTGTGAACAGAGTTGGTACCCACATTCCCTAGAGCACTGACTTGAGACTTACAATGGATTGAGAATCTGTACATTATTTTGATCAAGAGAAGAGAAGACTTAAAAGGGGAGCCAAAGACCTATCTTCAGATATTTGAAAGGGAATTCTTGTACTCTAAAGACCAGGACTAAGAGACATGGGTAGAAGTTGGTTCGCATCTTTCAGAAGTGTTCAAGCAATTGTCAGGCACTGAAATGGGAGCAAGCCTGCATGCCATCTGTGAACTCTTCATTTCCCACCAAGGAGACACAGAATAATGACAATACTGGTTACGTTATAAGGCAGTGTGCCAGGGACTTCCATAAGCAGTTTGCAGGCAGTATGCTGCTTGTCCTCACCCCCAAGGTTGGCACTGCGTTTCCATCTTCGTAGCATGAGCAAGGGGTCTGGTGAGAAGAGCGTCATTGCAGTTAGTCCCTGGGCTGCGAAGGACCAAATGATGAGCTCTGCCAAGGGATCTGGAATGAGCTCTAGACGAGGTGGCCTGAGCTTGCCCTAAGGGATGAGGAGGAACCATGTCGGGATGGAACTGGGTAGCCCCGTCTTCTCAAAATTTAGTCCAACACCCTCCAGTGTCCCAGCTTGTCCAGGCCACCCTTGTCTCCCACCTAGACCATTGCAGTGGCCTCCGCCCTGCCCTCCCTGCAGCCTCCACCCACTGTCGGCTCACCGCCACGCGGAGCCAGGGTGGCCTTGGAGAGGCGTGTCCTCCTCTCTCTAAACCCCCCCAGACTGCATCTTATTCAAGCAGGAGGCAGCAGCCTGCCAGGCCTTGAGTGACCTCCCCCTGTGGCCTCTCGGGTCCCACCCTCTCCTGCTCACCCCCTCCCTGGCCACACTTGCTCCCAGCTGCCCTCGGCCCTTGTGTGCTGGAGGCTAGCACATGCCGCCTCCAGGGCCTTTGCACATGCTGTGCGCTCTGCTTGCATCTTCTCCCAGAAAGCACAGGGCTCCTGCCTCACTTCCTCCCAGGCGCTGCCCATGGCAGGCCATCCCCAACCTTGGACAAAACAGTGCTAATGCTCGCCTCGCCCCGTCCGCCTCATGCCGCTTTGCTTTCCTCTGAAGCACATATTACAGCGTGGCATATTCAGTCTGTGTCTGTAATATAGAACATGTTATATGGTGGGCTACATCCATGGGGTCGCAAAGGGTCCGACATGACTGAGCAGCTAACACTTTCGCCTTCAGTCAGTTTTCATACGCTCTGTTATATTATGTTGTATTCTGTTGTAAGTTGCTCATCAGTTTACCATCTATCCCCAAGATTCAGAGGCAGGCTTTGTTTTGTTCTCTGCCTCATCACCAGCACCTAAGTGTTTCCAAGGGGGATGGCCTCATCAGGTGGGATCTGGCTCTGACTGTTGTGAGAACTGAGTGGTTGTCAGCACTCACCATCCAGACAGTGCTGCTGTGTCAAGTAGCGCGCTCCTGAAATTGCCACTATTGGGGCTCGCAAGAGTGGCACTAGTGGTGAAGAACCTGCCTGCAGCGGGGGAGATGGGGGTTCGGTCCCTGGGTAGCAAAGATCCCCTGGAGGAGGGCATGGCAACCCACTCCAGTATTCTTGCCTGGAGAATCCCATGGACAGAGGAGCCCCACAGACTACAGTCCACAGGGTGACAAAGAGTCGGACGTGATGGAAGTGACTCAGCGTACACGCATGCCAGGGACCACAGCACAGAGAGTCTCTGGAAGGACATTCAAAGCCCTGTTTGTGTCCTGAGAAACCATGGTTCCTAAACCGCCTCGCTCCTTTCCAGCACCGTAAGGCCAGCAGGGACCTGACAGAATTGGGATCACTGAAGCATTAGGCAGGCAGAGTCGCAGTTGAGCACTTTCAGCTGGTGGCCTCAGCAGCTTAGTCACTCTCGAGAGACTTTGTCCATCCCAAGCTGCCTCCTCAAGAGGGACAGTCCCCACTCAGGAGGGCCCGCCACCCTTTGGAGAGCAGGGAGGCCTGGTGTGTTTGGGCCGGGGCTAGGGCGTCCTCCGTTGAGGGCTGTGCCGGTCACCTTTTGCTGCAGTGACGAACAACCCCAGAATCTCAGTGGCATACAACAGCATCGTGCTATGACAGAGCCCAGCAGTGGGGCCGTCCCTGTATTTAACCTGCCATTCTCACAGCAGAGAGCAGGAGGAGCGAGAGACAAGCCATAGAGTCACCCAAAGCTTCTGCTGGAATGTGGCCCGCTCTGTGTCCGTTCATACCTGAACAAAGATGGCCCAAGATAGCAGGATGGAGACGTAGGTTCAATAACAGTCTGACATGGGGAGTGGGGTGCAGAAAGGTTTCTGTGCTGAGAAGACCACTGAACCACTCTACTCAGACAGCTCTGATAGTCTGGAATTGTCTCCAGACCCAACTGCAAAGCTGCGTCTGCCTCCTTCCCTCCCACAGCAGGCCCACGATCTGTCTGGAAGGCCCTTTGTCTGCTCACTGTCTTGTCTTTCTCTGGGCAGGTGGGTGGCAGGCCCGTGGAGCCCCTGCTCAGCGACCTGCGAGAAGGGCATCCAGCACCGGGAAGTGACCTGTGTGTACCAGCTGCAGAATGGCACACACGTTGCCACCCGCCCCCTCTACTGCCCGGTGCCCCGGCCGTCGCCAGTGCAGAGCTGCGAGGGCCAGGACTGCCTGTCCATCTGGGAGGCGTCGGAGTGGTCACAGGTGGGTGCCTGGGCTGCCCTGGGGCCTTGTCTGCAGGGACCCCAAATGGCCCCTTTCCCTCCGTGCTGTTTGTGACACATCCCCAGGAATATCCTCACCAGACCCTGCCAGCTCAAAGCCATGTTCTGAGTCACATACTCTCAAATTCCATCTGATGTTTCAACATGGCCAAAAAAACGTGGATAGTGTATTTTTGTTAACATACATCACAATACTGTTTGGTTTATTTGTTGTGAGAATTCTCTTGTAAATATAGATGGAGGGATGGATAGTTGGATGGATAGGAGATGGGTAGGTGGGTAGACAGATAGATACCTTTTCATCTCTTTTGCGCACTCTGGAACTGTAGGGTGGTCAGGTTGGGAAAGGGGTTTCAGAGGCTCCCCTTCAGCTCCATGGCAGTCTTGGTGGAGCTACCTTTGCAAGAGGCAGGCGGATGCTGGGAAAGACAGTTTTTAGTGTGTGAGTAGGAGTCACAAATCTCATGCCATGTAACATTTTAGAAAGAGGTCAATTAAGCCTTAAGTTTTAACTTTGAAGACTGATCCTGGAAATATTTTATCTTTGGTAATATCCTCCTTCAAGGCTTTGCAGTGAACTTGCATTAATGATTTTGATTGTTTGGCTATAAAACAAACAAACAAAAAAATAGCTGAATAAAGGGCAAGTTTCCCTGAGGTCTTCCATCAGACGTGTTCTAGGAAAGTCAGAAAGGCTAAATCCAAGACACTCTTCAGTGTGGAAAGTATTTTTAAAGCTCCTTTCTTTTGCCAAACAGTTGGAATTATTTTGAATAAGAAAGTATTCAGCCCATTTTTAATGAAGGAAAAGTCTGCCCTTGGGTGATTGAGTTTATTTTTTAGGCACATCATGACATGTACCTGTTTAAAGAGGAGAGATATTTTAGGGAAAGGACAGTTTAAATTTTTTAATTTTTTTCTCTTTACATGTACCTAGGTTGAGAAGTTTAACATTCAGTGCCCTTTTAGGGAGGGTAGTTGGAAAGCTAGGGGCAGGTATATAGTCTCTCTCCCTTGCCATGAGCCTTAGGGCCTTGATCACCTGGTTCTTGATCCAAATAAGATTTATGTTTTAATCAGACCAAAATCATAAATTTTCCACCTATAGGACTCTTTACAGGGAAAAGAAAAAATGCCTCTTACCAAAATAAACAAGCCTGACATAACCAACTGTCATTATAGTATTGAAGAGCACTGTTTTGGAAAGTCTGAGGCGGTTGGAGCAAGATTTTTAAAACGTCTCCATCTCTGTTTCTGTATCTGTGTGTTGCCTGTCGCTAATCCTGAAATAGTATCCACACCAATCAGTCTAATTCTGCCTTAGCCAAGGCTCAAAATGCTTCTTTCTAAACATTTGATGCAGAATCAAATCTTTCCTCCCTGAGATGCTCACAAAATTGGTATCCCTACCACTTTACCACATACGGAAGTCCCTTTAACACTTCTTCTGGAAACAAATGGGTTTAAATTTCTAGTGGGTGAGTTTTTATTGCTGGGCTTGCTTGTATTCAGCCGGCAGTGTTGACCACTAGTACCAGGAGTCCCCAGCTTCTTCCCCACTTCTTCAGAATGAGGAACAAATATTAAAAGGAAGAAAAATGTAGCAACTGTCTCCTGTCCTTGACTTCTGGTTCGCACCCCTGGATCAGAAACCAAGAGAGAAACTGAACATCACCCTCCCAGGTCCCTTGCAAGGTGACCCCAGCCTACAGCACCTAAAGGCTTTCCCACCAACAGGCTGCTGGTCAAAGGGGGGGCCAGGCCAGGATTTGGTCAAGAAGTGGGCTGGGTATTGAGTGTTTGAAATTCAAGGGACGAGGCAAGAAACGCAGAGTAGAGAGAGAAAAAGCAGGAACTCGGGCAGAAGTGGTGAGTAGGCCCCTAGGTGCAGAAGGAGCTGGTGGTGTGGGTGCTGATACCAGAGAGGAGCCTGTGAGGCAGATGGTGAGCATGGAGTTGCTGAAATGGTCAGAAAGCACCGCCAAACAGAAAAGCAGAAGGCGAGCCCTTTAACACAATAACCCAGGGTCCCCGGCCCCACGCCTCCTGCCCCAGGAGGCCTGTGCGCAAAGCCCGCCAGGGACTGGCCCCTTGCATCCGAAGTCCCTTTAAAACCCACGCGCAAGAGCAAATGCAGGTGCTCTTCCAACCCCCACCCTCCGATGATATCATAATGACCTGTGAAACATGTATTTCTTCTAAAACAAACCAGTTTAAATTCGTCTCAAAAAAGTAAATAAATAAAACAAGAAAAGGACCTTCAGATGGAGAGCTAGATTGAATTCATAGGAAAAATAAAACTAGATAACATTTTGAGATAAATGTTAATAACAAATATAAAGAACGACATTTGTCCTTTATGTGCATTTTTCCAGTGGACACAGTGGAACTTGTGAAAAATCAAGTTTGTTGTAGCTCAAGAAAAACCACGATGTACCCTCCCATATTTTTGGTCAATCACGCAAGCGTGAGAACCAAAGTTAGAGTTGCTGAGGCCCCATTCCTGCTTCTGCGGCTGCTGGGTAGCCCCACCCAGCAGTTGGGAGGGAGTCCCCCTCAGGATGTCCCAGGTCTCTTCGTGTCTGTGCATTGGATGAAACCCGACCTTCAGCCCACCATCTCTGCCGGCTGCGTTTTTGTCTCCGTGGTGGGGACTGGGCTTCCCCACACGACGAGCCAGAGGGCGGGCTCCCCAGATTCCCCAGCCAGGTCACCTCTGCTTGCTGATCAAGTCAGTTATGTCTCCCAGGGTCAAGGGTCCTCTCTTCCTTGTGCTTTGTGATTTTTTTTTTTCCCCAAACTCGTTTATTTTTAATTGAAGGAAAATTGCTTCACACTATTGCGTTGGCCTCTGGGATCTGTCAACATGAGTCAGCTACAGGTATCCATATGTCCCTCCCTCTTTAATCTACCCCCCCCCCACATCACACCCTTTCTCACCCCTCCAGGTAGTTACGGATCCAGGGTTTAAGTCCCCTCATGCTTTGTTTTGAGACAAATAAGAACTCACTCACTTGTCAGCCAGGCATCAGCCGATCTCCAGCCCAGAGGGTAGGGCTGGGAACCTCCCAGGCGGGCTCCACACACCCCCACCAAGGTCTGCCTCATCTGCGCCTTGTCGCCTCTCCAGCTCAGTCTCCATTTCCGTGGATCTTGCTGCCTAGGGGTGTGGGGAGCTGAGGATTCACACATCACTCCTCTGATGGGTCTCCTGCCCACACCATCTCTTGCTGTGTTTCCCAGGAAGTAAAATAGCACAGGGAACATTACCCTGTTACCATTCGTGGCATTCACACGAACCCAGGGGCTTGCCAGGCACTTTCTCTGAGAGTCACCAGGGGCTTTGCTGTCCATCTCCTCCTCCACCACCCCACTACCCGCTGAACTGGTGACTGCCCACACCATCTCTTGCTGTGTTTCCCAGGAAGTAAAATAGCACAGGGAACATTACCCTGTTACCATTCGTGGCATTCACATGAACCCAGGGGCTTGCCAGGCACTTTCTCTGAGAGTCACCAGGGGCTTTGCTGTCCATCTCCTCCACCACCACCCCACCACCCCGCTGAACTGGTGCCTTTACTCCAGAATGGTTCAGGCCAATCACAGGACCTGGAGGCCAGCTGGCCAGGACCGTGTGCATAAGACTCAGAAAGACCCGGAGCTTTTTAAGGACAAACAGCGTCCTCATCCTTGCATCCTCAGTGCTGGGGCTGGTACCTGCTAGGCACTTAACAGGTGTGGATGGACCTGACTGGATTCAGTCTCGAGTGGTGTCTTGCAGTGTTCTGCCACTTGTGGTAAAGGGACCCAGAAACGGACGGTGACTTGCACCAACTCCCAAGGAAAATGCGATGCGTCCACCAGGCCGAGAGCCGAGGAGCCCTGTGAGGACTACTCCGGCTGCTATGAGTGGAAAACCGGGAGCTGGTCCAAGGTGAGTACGGCGCCTGCACTTTCATCCCGCCCAGGAAGCAGAGGCGACTCAAGGGGCTCAGTCCTCTCACCGTGGGCCCCAGTTCAACCAGATGGTCCCAGTCTCACTAGGTGAATTCACTTTCTCTCCCAACTCCATACCTGCTGGTGACCCCATACGGTGTCCATTCAGAAGGGCCCTGAGAACCCCCAAAGCAGGAAAGAGTGCCAAGGGGACCCATGCATCCTGCAGTGGGCTTGGTTACCAGCCATTGAGAGAGCCTCCTCAACGGTTGGGAGTCTGTCCCCAGGCAGACACAGAGGCCCTATGGGCAGACAGAGCGCCATTGTCCCCAGGGTCCTTGGGCGAGGGCCGGACGATGCTTGAGGGGAAAGTACAGGGCCCTGGGGTGAGGAAAGGAGGCCATCTCCCAGAGCCTCGGGCAGGGGAGTTCAACAGCGTTCAAGTGAATGAAAGTTCCCTGCTAGTTATTCCTGTATTTGTTCATCTGATATCCTTGCCCCATACCCAAGGTGGATACCATTGTCACCCCGAGAACCAACCATGAGTGTTCTGGAGTCTTCTTCCAAATGCTGTAATATTCCTCCTGTCTGATTTTCTGATGAAAGTTTACAGTGAGAACCTGGAGTGCGTTTGTTCCCTTTTGGTCTCAGTAACTGGAAGCTCCCCATTTGCTTCTATTGATATCCATGCTCAAAGGCCGTACACTAGTGGGAACAGTTTAGAATTGATGACTAACAGTTAAAAAAATGGGAAATTTCACCTGGAAATCTGGATTTGGGCCTTTCTACGAAAACCTGGCAACCTGGCTTCCATCTGCACATGGCCTTCATGACCTGGTGCCCAGGAGGGGCTGTTGTGTCTCCCTAGGTTCCTCCAGCCACTTTGGGCTTTAATTTACCTGTCTGGCCAGGCAGAATAGCGTTGTCTGGACTCCATATGTCCAGGTGTGAATTAGAATAAAGCTGCCATTATTCGAAGGGTCTTTGTGGTCACATCCTGAATGCAGGCTGCATCGCTAAAGGGCGACTCCTGTGGTCATGGGCATCCCTGGGCAGGAGGAGAGGTGAGGAGGGATCAGCTGGGCCTTGGGGGTCTGGGGCCCCAGCCTTGGTTCCTCTGTACAGTGACCCGTCTGCCAGCACCCTCTCCCATGCTGATCCCAGCATAACAGAAGAAGGGGCAGAGGTGCAGAGAGGTTAAGCAACTTGGCCCCAGCTCTCTGACAGGGTCCAGGCTCCTGAGCCCCAGTTCAGAGCTCTATCCACCGGGTGGACACACGGTGGAGTCCCGAATCTCTGTGGTGGGTGCTCTGTGGATGGGCCTTGCCAGAGCTTCTGATCACTCTGGATTTGAGGACCAGGTGGACATTTTGTTTTCCTGAGCGCCATAAGCTCCCTGGTCCTGGGAGCAGCAGAATGTCCAAGGATGGATGTAAAGAATGCCAAGGAGCTCAGCGCAACACTTGGCCCCTCCTTGGCCAAGGACATGGGCACACATTCTGGCAAACTGCCCCCCCACAGAGCCCACTCGCATGGCTTCCAGGGAAGTAGAGTCTTCAGCTGGCCATCACCTCCCTAGCCAGGCCATGAAGCATAATGCCTCCTGGCCTTCCGGACACTAAGGTATTAGGAGGCTGCAGTGCCTACTTTCTGCCACAGCCAGCTTGATCAGCTGTCTCGGGCGGTGAGAACAACAGAGACCAAGGGGATGTGCAGGGCCTCTGTCCAGGGCTGGCATCCAGTGGCTTCCAGTTGGTGTGCATCCAGCCTCTGGGGCAAGCCCTGGACTGGTGCCAGCCAATCCCTCCCCAGCAGATCTGGCCAGAGCCAGGGCCCAGGGCAGCCTCGTTCTTCCCAGCTGAGAACTATAGGGACGCTGAGCTGGAAGGTAGCGTGTGTGTGTGTATGTGTGTGCACGTGTGTGCACACACAGGAAACAAGGCTTGGTGGGGATGGCGACTGCATAGAACTGAACCAGGAGACCCCCACCCCGACTGTCTGCTCACCCCTGCCCCCTTCTGCAGCTGCCACCACCGAGTGTGCTCGCATACGCCCCCCACCCCATCCCTGCAGAGGAGAAGAGATCCGCCTATTGCTTCCCTGTGTCTGCTCTGGAGACGCAGGAAGGATAGAGTCCCATGGGGCCCTCATTCTCACTCACCAGGTGACCGCACTGATGGAAGCAGATTCCAGGGGATGATGGTCCCCTAACATTGTCACTTGTTCAGCCTGGATTTGCTTTCTGATTGATACGTTATTGTTGAAGTGAAATTGTTCAGTCGTGTCCGACTCTGCGACCCCATGGACTGTAGCCTACCAGGTTCCTCAACCCATGGGATATTTCCAGGCAAGAGTACTAGAGTGGGTTGCCATTTCCTTGTCCAGGGGATCGTCCCAACCCAGGGATTAAGCCCAGGTCTCCTGCATTGCACGCAGATGCTTTACCATCTGAGCCATCAGTTGGAATCTGATGCACTTTCAATCTAGTCGTTGGGGGTGACCCTCCTCTAGCTGGCATCCAGACCTCCCACATGCCAGACTTTGAAGGCAGCAAACAAGTTGCCCAGCAGGAAAGTAAAAAGAAGCCCAAGCGCTGTTAGACCCCAGTGCAGTGTATCTGGATGCTCTGACATCTTCCGTCCAAGCAGCCTCCTATCACTTGACCCAGAGGTGCTGCTGAGAAAGATGAGCCTATCTCCAGGGAGGTGATGGACAGGCCAGCCCAAAGACAAACTGCAGGTGCCGTCCTGCACTTCCTGAAGTGAGCAGGACCAATCTTCCCTTCCTCCAGCTGGTATACTGGGCCTGAGATCTGCACCCAGAGCCTGGCTGAGGCAGGGCAGGCCTGAAGGGCATTCGGGGCCCCTTCCCCTCCCCCATCTTCAGCAAACAGCTGAACCCTAACTGGAGACCTATCCAGAAACCTGCTTCACTTTCCCAGCCCTGCAGAGGGCATGGCTACTGCTGTGCTCTGCCTGCCCTCCTGGGATAGAAGCTATTGCCAGATCTGTGGGAATCATTGTTTTCTCCCACTAAATGCTGGGTAAATGCTGGGCCTACATATTCAGAATGAGGGAGGGGTGGGGGCTGCGGACGAGAGTGCCACTGAAACTGGGAGAGGAGGAAATCACATTTCTTTCTAGAGCAGCGTGACTTTTGATCAAAAGTTGAGTTGTTACAGTTTCAAACCACAGGCATTAATCACCACCGAAATGATGGGATTAATCACCACTGAAAGAATTAGAAACAAATTACTCTGGAGGGATTATAATAGATGGTGTTTTAATGAAGAGCACTGACTCTTTTAAGAGTATGTTCCCTTTTACCGAAAAGGTCAAAGTGGTCATTGACTTCCTGGTGCCGGTGGAGGTGCCCTGGAAGGGGGCTGGCCTGACTTGAGGCCTTGGGGGAGCCCCAGGTGTGCCGCTCCTGCCTGAGCCCCAGCATGTCCCAGAGGCCGTAGGAGACCAAATGAAGCCGTAAAAACACATGTGCCTGCAGCTGCAGAACCCCGGGAAGAAGTCAGGGAAAGCCTCTCATTCAAACTGGGCCGTGTGGGTGCCTTCCCAGAACAGCAGTAAGATAACCTTCTGCAGTTGTGGGCAGAGGGATGGGAGCTTGAGTTCCATGGCCTTAGAAAGACAGACCTTTTGCCATGAGGGGGCTTGTTCCAGAAAGCTTTTCACCACTTCTGAAGCCTGCACTTCCTGTGCTGGGGCTGACGGCTCCCCCAACCCTCCTAGCGTGGCCTGAGGGGCCAGTGGGGCACCCACTTGCTGGAGGCCTGCAGCCAAGTTCACTGTGATTCAGCCAGCATTTCCTGAGCCCCTGCTGTGCGCCGGTCTGTGCTGGACACCGAGGGGACAAGATGGACAGTGCCCAGGAGATACAGGAGACAGAGAGCCAGCTACAGATGCTAGGCCACACCGAGTCCCCTGGCAGGTATGAACACAGCCCCTGCCGGGGGGCAGCCCTGAATGGAGTGCTGGTGGAGAGTGGTGCTACTTCTGCTGGGATCACTGACCGTGGTCCTGACACTCACCGGGTCTCTAGAATTTACAAAGCATTTGCACTCAGATTCTCTCATTTGACCATATCCCCATTTTACAGGTGAAGAAACTGAGGCTCAGAGTGGTGATATGAGATTTTTTCCTGAGGTCACATAACTAGAAAATGGCAGGGCTAAGAGTCTTATCCTTGCCTTCTGGCTCTTAATCCGCCTTTCCTTGAAATGCATAATAATATTAGAGGCTTGGGTTTTATTTTGGAATGGGAAGGAGATGAACTATTACATGCCTCAGGTCTAAGCAGCATAATCATAAGCTTGTTGTAAAGTCAAGTATTTATCCACTCTCTCTCCAACTCACCAATCAAAACCTGCTCTCCCCAGGGCTTTGTATTAGTCATTTACACTGTAGTATAAATCTGTTGTCTCTATAGGAGATCATGCATGTTGTCTCCCCTTATTTGTAAAATAAACAGTTGAGTCCTGACTAAAAGAAACTTGAACATACAAGACCAGGCATGAGAGGCATTGGAGACACCAGGGCCCTTTTCTGGGATGTGTGAAATGGTATAACACAGACAGCCAGCACTCTGCAAGCAAGTGAAAGTGAAAGAGTTAGTTGCTCAGTCATGTGTGACTCTTTGGGACCCTATGGACTATAGCCCACCAGGCTCCTCTGTCCACGGGCTTCTCCAGGCAGGAATACTGGAGCAGGTTGCCATGTCCTCCTCCAGGGGATCTTCTCAACCCAGGGATCGAACTTGAGTCCCTTAACATCTCCTACATTGGCAGGTGGGTTCTTTACCACTAGCACCANGGTTGCCATGTCCTCCTCCAGGGGATCTTCTCAACCCAGGGATCGAACTTGAGTCCCTTAACATCTCCTACATTGGCAGGTGGGTTCTTTACCACTAGCACCATCTGGGAAGCCCACAAAAGGTAGT